GCAAGTAATGTAAACATTTACGATTCGGTAAAATTGTGATGTAAGAGGAGGCTTAGCTTGCCTACGGCGGTTCAGTAGGAGACTGGCCAGCCGGTTGTTGTGTTGTGTTTTGTCATAGAGCTGATATTTGGGGGTTGAGAGTCTTTTGACCATAAACGTTGCAAGTACTGTAAGACAACGGGTCGTTTGACCGGAAGAAAACCTCTGGTGACGGCTTTCCTTCGAGGTTGGTCTTGAGAGTTTGAGGTCTCCCTTGTCTTCTCGATTGACACGATGCGGCGTTGGGGTAGAGAGACTAGTCTTCTTCTTCTTCTTCTTAAAGTGCCTTCTCCATTCAGTGAAGATCGGCAACAACCATGGCAAATTCCTCTCTATTTTTCGCTCTTCTCAGCAAAGTATGTGAGTCCAGGCCTGTCCAATCTCTGATGTTCTTCAGCCAGGAGCATTGCCGCCGTCCGGGTCCGCGCTTTCCCTCAATTTTACCCTCGATGATGAGCTGAAGGAATTCATACTTGCTATGTCTCATGATATGGCCCAAATAGGCTGCTTTCCTCTTTTTTATTATGTCGAGGAGTTCTCGGTCCTTGTTCATTTGGTTTAGAATTCGTTCATTCGAGACACGGTCAGTCCATGGTATTCTCAGCATTCTGCGATATACCCACATCTCAAATGCTTCCAACTTATTCATTGCGCTTACTTTGAGTGTCCACGACTCAACCCCGTAGAGAAGTGTGGAAAGTACGTAGCACTTGACGAAGTTGTCTTTTATATGGATGTTGAGACGTTTATCGCACAGTAGGTTCCGCAATTTTAGGAAGTTTGATCTAGCCATCTCAATTCGAGCTCTGATCTCAATGTCTGGGTTTAGGTCTTCACTAATCCAACTGCCCAAATATCTAAACTTTGAGACTCTTGCTATTGGTGTCCCACCTACGACTACCTCCGTTGCCTGTCTTGCATCTCTATTTATCACCATGACTTTTGTTTTGTTTGTATTTATCCTGAGACCCATTGAGTCGCCCACCGAGGACAGTCTATCAAGAAGTCTTTGCAGGCCCTCAGTGGTGTCTGCAATAACGACGGTATCATCAGCATATCTCATGTTGTTAATCAGCCTGCCATTCACTTTTATGCCGTCTTCTGATCCCTCAAGCGCATTTCGAAATATTAGTTCGGAGTACATATTGAAGAGCATAGGGCTCAATACGCATCCTTGCCTAACTCCACGCTTGATAGGTATTGCTGTTGTTTCAGTGTCCTGTAGTTTTACTGTCGCTACTTGTTGTTCGTATAGCTTTTGGATAATTTTCAGGTCTTGGGTATCCAGGCCTCTTCTTTCAAGGATGCTCAGCAATTCCCTGTGGTTGACGCAGTCGAATGCCTTCGTGTAGTCTATGAAGCATAGGTGTACCTCCTTTCGTTGATCTCTGCACTTCTGCAAAAGCACCGATAGCGCAAACAGGGCTTCTCTCGTCCCCAGTCCCTCGCGAAATCCCATTTGCTGTTCACTTATGTCTAGCTCACATTTTCTTCGGATTCGATTATGCAGAACCTTTAAAAACAGCTTTAGGACTTGACTCATCAGACTTATTAAACGAAACTCATCACATCTTTTTGCACCAGTTTTTTTAGGAATAGGTATAAAGGTCGACCTTAGCCAGTCCTGCGGTATGTTTCCGGTATTGTATACAGAATTGAAGAGGTTTACCAATATCTTTAAATTGTCTCCGTTTATTAGTTTTATCAATTCTGGGTAGATGTTGTCCGGTCCAGCTGCTTTCCCGTTTTTGGTGTTCTTTAAAGCTCTCTCGATTTCTGAGATAATTATATCTGGACCATTTTCAGTTTCTATTTGGGAGTGAAAAGAGGGACCACCGTCATCGAACAGTTCCCTTATGTAATTGGTCCATAGCTCCTCTAGTTTTTGTTCGGTTAGGATTGGTTTATTCTCGCCGTCCACGATTCTGGTACATGTTCGAGGTTTGTGTTTCCCAGTGACTTCTTTGACTTTTTTATGTAGGTTAAACAAGTCATGTTTTTGGTGGAGCTCCTCGACTTCGTGGCACCTCTCCGTCATCCACAGTTCTTTGGCTTCCTTGATTTTATTTCTGATAAGCCTGTGAGTGTCTCTATATCTCTGAGGGTCTGTGCCTTTAAAACTTCGCCGCTTTTCCATGAGGTCTAAAATTTCTTGAGTCATCCACGCTTTATGGTGCTTCTCGTTATTAGTTGTTCTTGTGTTTCCTGCAGCGCTTCTTTAATTTTCTTCCAGATGTTCTCTATAGACTAGTGAGGTACCCCAATTAGCTTATTCGATTGGGATGCGAATCTGTTTAGCGGCAGAGTTGCGTCCGGGGGAAGCCCCTATACTATTTCAGGTGACACTAGCTAGTTGTTGAAGATTATTAACCAATAGATCCGAATGATATTTGAATTAGATGGAAAATATGGAATGGGATATATTGAATAGAATATATCAGTGGCTAGGGGGCGGAGTACCCCCGGGTGAGTCTTACTATTTAATAGTGATGGGATCACTCGAGTGAAAAATACTCGATCATCCGAGTATTCATATCCTCGGTATGTCTCGAGTATTTTTGTCGATCCTCGAGGATAACTCGGCACGCAACTAACATCGGGTGTGGTGTACTATCCTCACTGCTCGCGACGATACAGGCGATTTACGATTTATGCTGAAACCTTTTTTTGTCGATCCCCGAGCATTACTCGGCACGCAACTAACATCGGGTGTGGTGTACCGTCATCGCTGCTCGCGCCGATACAGGCGATTTACGATTTATGCTGAAACCTTTTTTTGTCGATTCCCGATCATTACTCGGCACGCAACTAAAGCAGAGTTTACACTGTGTCACTTTGGATGTACAACCAAAATGAATCACTCAAATTGAACAACCTTGTTTACATATTTTCATTCAGTTCGCAGCAGTTCACTGTTTCATCTTCCGCAGGCTGCCACCTCTCCCAGTGTTTTCTATATTGAGGTTGGCCGCCCGGGTCGGCGTCGGCTGTTTACATTTTTCACTTCCCGTTCAATCTGGATGAATCAACGAACGTTGAACGCTTCTTTCAACAAAAGTAGGAAGACCGTGAACTTGTTTCATTGTTCAATTTTAGTGTACACTTTGGATGAAACAGTGATGAAAGGCAATTTATACTTATCACTTTGGATGATTCATCCAAGTTGTACATCCAAAGTGACAAATGTAAATGAGCCTTAACATCGGGTGTGGCGTACCGTCCTCGCTGCTCGCGACGATACAGACGATTTATGCTGAAACCTTTTATATAGAGGATAGAGGATAATAATCGGTTTTCAGAGTAGTAACCTGCATTTTTGAATAGAAATACATTACATATTTTTGTTTTGGTTTGTTTAGATATTTAGATGGGATATATTAATTATAATATTTATTTAAATTATAAAGATTTTTTCTCCATACTTTATGTTTTAAGATTTATAGTTTTTTAACCATTGATATAATAATAAAATGTTGTTTTTTCTGTGTAATAATTCAGAATTGAAACATTTGAAAATTCATAATACGTCAGTTTTCGATTTTCAAAATTCCATTTGACAAAACCATAGTTGTTTATTTGGGTTAAGGCTTTGGAGATTTTGCTTTATTTGCATTTTTATTTTTCAATTTACGTTTTTCCTTTTGTAAAAAAACCTTTGCTTGTAGTTGTACGTTGGGAGACTATATTCTGATGAAAGTATAATCGAAATTTAATGTGATGGAACGTAGATATAAAGTGAATGATTTGGCGGAATTTGCCAACAAGAACAATAATAATATTGCTGTATATTTTATTTCATTTTTTTTCAAACAGTTTTTAAAGCGACAGCTGACTCGTTGTAAGCCTTAAGCTTGACCTTAAGTAAAATTTTAATAGTTAATATTTTTCTGTTATGAGGGTTCACAAGAGAAAGAGGTTGAAAATCCGAAACAATCATCATTAACAATTTTTTTCGATTATTAGTTAAGCTGTGCCCAAACAATACAGTTGGTAAATTCAATTTTAAAACTGGATATTATGTCGCACAAAAACTTAAAATATGCAAAATAACACAATACTACTACAATTTATTAGGTACTACAGTTGATTTTTGGTGAAAGTACGCTATTAAAAAGTAAAACAAAATATATTTTTTATCTCAATGACCGACCGCCTTCAAATAAACAATAAACAACGAGCCCTTGTGCGGCACGTATTTCCTAGAATTACTTGGTTTCATTTGGCCTGAAAGTGTGCTGAAAGATTGCCAGATTAGCCTCAAAGTCGGAGATAAAGAAACAAAATAAGCACAATTTAAAGCAAAACCTATGAAAATTTCCCACATGAAATTATACACGAACATATTAAAAATTATTAAAAAAGTGTTTTAAAATAATTAGTATTTATTTTTATTACAATATTATTTAAGTCATTCAAGTACATGGCAACAGTGTGTTAAAAACAGCAAGCAAAATCACTCATACCCAACGGCGAGTATTATTCAGGTTTCGATCGAGATATTATACAGAGAAAATTTTATGATCGAGGATTCCTCGAATGATCATCCGATTGTTGAAATCCTCGAGGATCAATACTCGAGGATTGAAATCATCCGATTTTTCCCAACACTACTATTTAACTATCAATTTTATCCAGATCAGTAAATGTTTGTTTTGTTATTTTCATGTACAATGAGAGAGTGCTTGCCAATGACCAACTAAATGGATATTTGAGGTGAATTTGCATTGTGAGACCCAGTTGAGTAAGCCCCAGAAATAAGCGATTTTACATGATGGTGTTGATATCATAGCACTATAATTACATCGTAGTTATCAGATATAACAGCATGTGTATACTGAGTATAAACCCTATACACTACGCCGAAATCTAACTATATGAAGCATCTTTTTTAATCTACATCCGACTATAAATAAAAATCTAATGAATCAACTGTATAATGAACTTCAGATAAGATACGTTATCGGGCCCCTGCCTATTTACCTGAACAGATCGTTTCATATTAGTTCACAAACAAAATTAGTGTGCAATATAGAATTCCCTATAAAAAATATCGCGTTTTGAACAGTGCATGTGATAAAAATATCGGATTAGCCTAAACTTAAAATGTATAGGTCAGTAAACAACTACTATTAGGTACTACTACTGCTACTTTGTAATTTCACATAATAAAATACATTAACACGTATTATTTTTAATCTATAAAATCTAGAAATCTATAATTTAATCGTTTTTGTATGAACAAATAAGAATGAATCATAAGGCTTAAGGATCCCTAGGGATGTGACGGTATAATATCTACTAGGAAGTTTCGATATTTTTATGGTTTCCAATTGTTTTATGTATTGATTCAAAATATTTTTTACAGATTTTGTTTATTAATTTTACTGTGCCTTTGTGCCGCTTTTACTAAATGCGATAACGACAACAACAAGCAAAAACTACCACTCTGCGGCACCTGTACTTGTGTTTTCGATAACGATCAACTTCCGGCAAAAGTCAACTGCAAAGATGACGTAACGCGTTTGCTCCAAGCCGAGTCAACATGGATCAACCCCCTCAACAATCAGTCCTACGAGTATTCGGAATTAACTCTAACCAATCAAGAAATTATGTTTTTGAATTTTACATTCCCCACAAGCAAACTCACTTATTTGAGTATCACTAACAGTGAGGTGTACCGAATAGTGAACAGTCCGTTCAAGAACTTGGAGAATATGGTTACGTTAATATTGAGTAATAATGGCTTGGATTTACTTATGCCAGATTCATTTAAGGTAAAGATTTATATATTTATTCTATCAAAAAAAGTTTAAATAATCTTTAAATTATAGGGGCTGTACATGGAAGAGCGTTATATGCCATTACGATCACTCAAAGAATTACGATTGGATCACAATAATTTGCATACACTGAACATGAATTTGTTTGAACACACAACCGATTTGGAGATATTGGATCTTAGCTACAACCCTTTAAAGGTCATCGATAAGCATACTACAATCGCTATTGACAGTCTACCCTTTTTAAAAGTAAGTCTACTTTAAATATTATTAATTTTAGCAATACAATTGAGGTAACTAAAACCTTTATTGACGTTAAAACAGCACTATAAAGTTTATCATAAAAAATGTTATAAAATATTTTAGAGTGTGATTTCTATACCGTTTGATAGAGAGCTATAGTCTGTCCATCGACAAAATCCTTGACACTGATAGATGTGTCTGTCATTTTAATTTCAAAGTAGTTTATTTTATTTTACAAAGAAATAAGTTGGTACAATTGGATCGCATAATTAATATCCTTGTTTATATATTCTTAAAGTTGCCCAACCGACTAGAAAAAATGTGCTGCCAACTGGAGGACAAATCGTGAACCTTTCGGGGCGGTGTCAAAAATATCGATTATTTTCGTTATTTTCCTCAGAGTAATGTAATAATATAGCCCAGGGTTTCTGCGAACTTTAATAGTGATCAGCTGATTAAGAAATTTAAACGAAACTTTTATTTTATTGTAAACTGTGGATTATTTTTGGTTTGGTTTGGATATGTTGGTACATTATTTATAATTTATGATAATGCTAATTGCTGTTAATTAATATTTAAAAAAAAGTTACATACCTATTTTAATTTGATTTAATGCAGGTTTATAAAAGAATCATTTCATTCTTAGATTATTTTATTCTAAATTGAGTGTTTTACGAATTTTATGATATTTTTTTTGAAAACATGAAACTTTTTACATTTTTGATACCAACTAATTGGCATGGTATTATTGGTATGGAAATTAGCCAAGAAAGAAAAGAATTGGCTATAACTTGTAATTTTTCGAAAAAAACATATTATACCTATATCGCTGAAAAGCTTAAAAAATGGCGCTTTTTATGAAGTCATTGCCAACTATGGTTTCCATTTAAAAAACATAATGTTTGGGTCATATGTCAAAAATGACAGGCTTTAGAAAAAAAACAGAACACAAACTCATTAGGTATGTGATTATCCACAACTTTTATAGTAGTTTCCGAGATACCCATAGAGAACATCGTAGGAAACTCACCCTGTTTAGTATTTAGAAACTAACTATTATTATTATTTGGCTAGATTAATTTGATTAATAAAACTCGATTAATTTAATTTAAAATAAATTTGATCAGATTTTTTCTTCGTATATTCTACTACCAGAAAACCAAAATTATATGATAACGCACTTTTCAACGAAGTTGAAGGAAGATAGTGTATCTATCACAATACTTAATAGAATTACTACAATTAGAAGAAAAACAAAAAGAAAAAATACCCAAATACCTTCACCTACTACTCATCCACAAAATAAACTAATATAATCTCTTATAAAAACACTACACAACTACTTCTTCACTACTTCAATCACTTCTACACTGAAAAAATTATCAAACTTACTAATTAATCAAACAAAAAGAAAAAATAACCAAATTATCCTTTCACCTACTACTTAACTGCAAAATAATAAACTATAAAAACACTACTAAACTATTTCTGGTATTCTACACTAAACATTATAATTAAACTTAATAAAATTAATCTAATTTTACACTACAACTAGCGATGGGAACTATCGAATGAATTAGACTATCGAATGGTTACTGAATGAATGATATCAACTATCGAATGGTTTTATTCGAATAAAATCATTCATTCATTTGTATACTAAAGCATATGTGACAACCTCGCCGTGCAACTAAATGGTTATCGTTGAGCCACGACTATCGAATGCTTTTGGTAAATGAAATTTAGTATTCGTTTGATTTTTGTGTACGTCAGTGCATTATTAGTTCTTCCAAATTTTTATAACTTCACCTTATAAATACTGTGCTATTTTTGAGTTTATTAAAATATTTAAAATACTAAAATAGTAGTTTTTTTTAATTGACGATTGTGTGCGTGTGCAGGTGTCAAAATTTTTCCGAAAATTTGTGTGATTTTCCGTAGCCCGATCTTTCAATTATTTTATTTTATATTGTATATATGGCCTATTTTTTAATGGGAAATTTTGAGAAGTAGCAATTTTTAAGAGAGATGAGATGAACTTAGAATTAATTTTAAAAATACATATTTGTATTTTAGATGTTTTAATAATATGAATTAGTTGAACTTAATAATCATATTTAAGTAATGTGGTTAAGTAAATAGTTATCGAACTCAAACTACGGGGTGTGAAAATTAAATTGAAAGTTTTACAAGTGCCAATTTAAAAAAAAAGTTAAAGATGTTTGTATTTTGTTTATGCTAATTCTCTTACATGTAGTTTTTTGCGAAGAAATATTTCATTTATTTTTTAAAGTAAATGCCAGTAAAAATAAATATTATTTTTAAATAGTAATATAAAGTACCTAATATAAATAATTTTGATTTCTAATTTTTTATTTATATTTTCCTTCCATTACACTGCATGGTTAGAAAATTAATAAATGTTTATATTTCATGATTTTAAAGTTTGTTGTTAATATAACAAATTAGTTCTGTAATTATTATTATTTAATAAATCAACGTTGCCAAAAAATTTAATGACTATATTATTTTTAAATAGGATCTAATATAAATAATTTTGACATCTAATTTGTTGTTTATATTTTGCTACTACGTAAAAAAAAATGTTTATATTAAATTATTACTGTTAACAAATTATTACTATTATTTTTATTAAACCAGTCTTTGCTTAAAAACATTAAAAATCATTTTCCTACATCCAAAATAACAAGTATTATTGCTGTGTAACAACAGAATATTAATAAAAAAATGCAAAATATATAGGCATACTATCCCTAACTAACTAAAGCCAAACAATAATATTCTTTGCTAATATCAACTAATACCAATATATGGCAACAGCGCCTTTCATAATGTATTTTCTGTGTAAATACTAGCACCTCAATAAAAAAAATAATGTGTCCTTATCTTTATATGACTCCGCAAAAAATCAAAGATGCCGGCTTCTTTCATAGCATTGCCACCGACCGCTGTTGGGTTTGTCGGAAAGAAACCTACGTCGCCGGGCGACAACTAAAATCCAGTTAATATTTTATTATAATCGATCCTGACGAATAAATGAATTTCATAAATGAATGAATTTTATAAATGAATGGTTTTTGCTGCCGAATTACTAGAATACAATATTTCAAGGCAGATGACGCATCTATGCGATAATTTTTATTCGAATAGTTTTCAACGAATGTTTTTTTACTAGCTATCGAATTATTCGAATGAATTGCAACTATCGAATGTTTCGATAGTATTCATTCGATAGTTCCCACTACTAACTACAACCACTACGACTACAAAGAAATAAGAACATTTTTTAAAACTAGAAGAAACAGAACCTCGATACGTGCAACCAGTATAATAGATCAAGCGGACAAAGAATATAAAATACTTTAAAAATGTGCATTCAGAAAGAAAAAATATCTCGAAAATTATCTAAACAAACATTTTTTTTTCTTATCATTGAAAAGCATCGGCCTCGTCGGCCTTGCGAAATTTGTCGGGTATTTACAATGGTCGAATTGTATAATTACCAGCTTTTATAGCATATCTAATAGACAAAAAGTATCTGGTCGATTAGTAACCAATTGGCACAGTACGAAAATTATCGATTTTTATTTTCTCTGTTTTTATTGGTCGCTTCAAAGTTCAGAGTAACAAAAAATATTTTTCTGTAGTAAAAGACGCCCCGCCATCTGGTGCTTTACATCCATAAACGTCTTAGGTTGAGCTACTTTAAAAATTCATATTTAAATTTTGAGTAACAAGTGATTACTTCAAAATATTGTAAAAAAAACTGTATAAAACTAAAAAAATCTAATCTTGGTTAATTAACTTTAATCTTAATGTTTTTCTGCAGTACTAAAATTTATTATTTACCTATCGTGTGATGTTATTTTACAGATACTCCAGTTTTTGGTACCATATACGAGATGGTTGCGACATCTTTATTTTTGGCTAATACAACTTTCTGGCCATAGTCTCTGGCAAACTGTGTCTCTGGCGGTCTCTGTGCACCGAATATTAACTGTAAATTTTTGAAACTCAAATTCTAAGGGGTGAAACCACCCCTCAAATATTAGAATATTATTATTTAAAAACCGGTGAGTTTTTCGGAAAAACTCTTAAACACGTATATTTTATTTTATTGCTTTACATATTTTAAGATTTTTTAAACATTTATATAGGGTGTTTCATAAAATATGACCATTTTTTTGAGTAATCACGATTCTGCTTAAATTGCTTGACGTTTAAAGCTGATTTTTGGCAAACGAATTGACTGTGGGGTGTAGAGGTTCGATAAGGAGAGGTTTCTCGAATCTCAAATTCCAAGAGGGTGAAAACGCCCCTCAGATATTACAGTATTTGTTATTTAAAAAACGGTTAGTCTTTCGGGAAAAGGCTTGGACACGCATAATTTATTTACTTCTTTTACATATTTTGATTTTTTTTTAAATCATACAGGGTGTTCTAAAAAGTTGGGTAATTGATTAACCACGATTCTGCTTAAACTGCTTGACGTAAGAAGCTTATTTTTGGCAAACTGATTTTTCAAAAGTCAAATTCCAACGAGATAAAACTACTCTTCAAATATTACCAAGTTATATAATAATATCGCCATATTGTTTTTTCCCATGATGACATAAATGGGAGAAAAATTTATAAAGTTTGTATGTTAATGAAAATTCTTGCTTTGCTTTATCATCACCATTACAAGTGATTAATTCGACGCGAACGAAGTCGCAAGTACACGCTAGTTTCATATAATATTTGTAATCAAAAATATGTTGGGCGGACAAACTAGAAGATCAATATTAACTAGATTTAAAGAATATAATATGGCTCAGATAAGATATGGTACACCCGATAAATCTTGCGTTGCTCAACATATTGATGATAAAGATGATTGTATAGATGTTAGTAATTTAAAATTGATCAAATTAGTCTCAAATTACAGGCAATTGGATGCCATATGAGAGCGTAAAAATTAATAAACGTAAAGATAATATGAACAGAGATAATGGTCCGATTCCTTCCAGTTATCTGTTCCTATTACTCTAGACTCGGTAATTCATTGTTACGCTCGGTTGGTTTTGACTCGCTTGGCTAGTTTTCTTACTCTTGGTCGGTACCAACTGTATATTAGTTTTAGTTCTAATCATCTGCTGATTAGCTAAGTGTTGGTGTATTGTGGTGAATTACTGTTTTATTTTGCTGTTGTAACACCAAAGGTTCCAACCCTCAACTGTAATAGTTGTACTTTGTATTACTTCCATCTAAAATTACATTAGATTTTTACATTTTTTTTTTGGTTATTTCATTTTTTGATTCTGCGTTTTTTTCAGGAATTGTATTTAGGCTATACTCAAATCAAAACTCTACCAGATCAGATAATGCATACTCCCATTCAACTGTCTATCTTGGATCTAAGTGGTAATCCTATAGAGGAGATTCCCGAAACTTTAGGGGAATCCCATAACTTAACTACATTGTATCTAAATGATACTGGCTTCATAAATATTACTAAAAACAGGTACGGCTCTATTTGTGAACTTTTGTTTCACGTATATAATATACAGGGTGTGAAAAAATAGTGTATCTATTTTATTTGTGTGTAAATAGTGTATTCTATTTATATTATTTAAAATAATATAAATAGAATAATATTAGAAAAATAATATAATATAGCAAAAACCAAAAACAAAATTCAAGACTATAGTTATTTGATTACATATATCTTCATTATGACACTCTGATATTTTACTAACCAGTAAAATTCAGTGATGATTAGTGAAATAATATTTTTAGTGGTTTTCCTGAGATGCCTAGCCTGAAGAATCTATATCTATGTAATTTACGCAATTTGGAAAGAATAGAAAGTGAATCCTTGTCTGGACTTAGTGGACTTCAAGAACTACATATTTGCAATAACATAAAATTAACGCATATAGATGATTTTGCAATTGCTAAAATAAATGAACATGGAGGCGCTACATGGCCTATGATCAAAAAAGTATGTATTCACGCTTAAAATAAGAACATATAATTTTAGACGCAAAATGCAGCATGCAGCATTGTTTTCTACAGTTTTGGGATTTAGTACAATTTTTTCCGTGCATTTTTAGCCGACCATACCAACAGGTATGGTAGGCTATTAAGATCGGCAAAAAAAGTTTTTTTAATTTCACTCAAAATGAATTATTTGGGTCATAAATGACCTAAATACAAAATATTTTCATGGTGCCTGTCTGTCTGTCTGTCCGTCTGTCTGTAACACGATAACTCAAAAACCGCTAAACCGATTTTAACCAAATTTGGCACAAAAATACTGCGGCACCCGAGAATCTGGCCATTACTTTTTGGTGGGTGTGGGGGGTTGGTAAGGGGGCATGGGAGGGGGTTAAAAAATTTTAAAAAATCGTAACTCCAAAATTACAGTAGCTAGCGAAACGCGGTTTTCAATTTAAGATTAGGAATAATATTTGCAACAAAATTTGTAGTAACATCAAAATCAGTCAAAATCGCAGTTTTTGAGATAATTGAAACTAAAAGAACTGCCTACCAACTCCCGACGCCAATTTTTCTTAATAATGTGATGTAATAATAATCTCATAGATGTGACAAAAATTGAGTACCTAAATATATCAATAACAGAATATATATATTATTTTAGTTAAACTTGTTTGACAACAAACTGGGATATATAGATAGTGATTTTCTGTCAAGATGGGACTTGTTGACATATCTAAACATTAACGACAATCCTTGGACTTGCGAGTGTGAAAATCAATGGCTAATTGAAGATTTGATGCCTACCTACAAGAAAATTAATCCTGAAAACGCTAATAGTGTGAAGTAAGTTATTTTTATTATTTTAAATAAATAAACACACATTCTACGAGAAATCAATAATCATCGAAGGACTGTATTATTGCGTTCTTGTTATTTTTGAGTTTCTAAATATTATGGGAGTTATCATCTATGAGTCCACTAAAATTCATATTAGAGTTTTTTCTTATGAAAGTATGTGTTCTTGTTAAAACTTAGGACATATTTTAGGCATATTTTCTTAATCTTAGTTGGACTGATGTTACAACTTTCAACAAAGTTTACGAATTACGAAAAACGCACACCTTAAAATTTTCATTTATTTTAAAGTTTTACATATCGTGTTCTTGTGGACTGATTTTGATGAATTTTAAGCAACTTGTAGCTAAATTATTTGTTGCTTAATACATTTTCCATTTCTGTACCCCACAAAAAATCGAGTATGCTCTGTGTTGCTTGGCCGCACAGCTACATTTCCACCATATTTATTCCTTCAACATTCCCTTTCCTTATAAAAAAAATCTCGTGATATCTTTGTTTTCGTAAATGGAATAATGACATGAATGCATTGTCCTTCATCTTTAACATTTTGCAGCTGCAAATTTGTCAACTCGATACGCCGGCAGACTCCCGCAAGTCCCACTATCAATGAAACTTTTGTCAGAAAATAAGTTTTATCATCGGCTTCCAACAAAAAACAAGTTTTGTCTTCTGTTCTTAAAATTCTCAATTTTTTTGACCGAAATCCTTCCGATTTTCTTTTTAGAAATGCAATTAAATGGACGTACTTACTAATTATCTGTATTTTTCTTCACTGATATAACTGAACGTAGCATGGAATAATATACCCAAAGTGATGAAGCCTTCCTATGTTTTGAAAGATGTTCAACATATGCCAGGAGAACCTTTTCGTTACTACTATCACAGATTAGGTATCAACAACAACAACACAACGCTTTATTGTACAAAAAGCCAAAACAGCTTCATCGACAAAGCAACATCCTATAAGTATACAGATAAAAATCTTGTCCCTAATTCGTGGTACGAAAATTGTCTTTTATGACGATGTGCAAACTAGTCAAATTTCCTGTGCGCAAAAATAAACTCCCGTAAAATAACAATAAACAGCGTAATAGAGAGATATCGCTAAACCGAATAGCGTGCATGGACGTTAATAAGGCCAGGTGTTATTTCCTTTACGTGAGGTGGTATTAACTCGATCTCTTCCAATGACATCGAAATAAATTAGACCCGGCGACTTACATTTTGGCGAAATCCATCATTGCCTAGAAAATTGCATGCATGCCAAATTTCCACTACCGGCTGCATTTAAAATGAAATCTTACCTACGTATACGTACGGGGATAGCTAACCCACATTGTAAACCAGGAATTCCAAATATAGATTACGTCGTAGAATACTTTAAACCGATAATAATTAAAGGTAGCCTAGTATCACGAACTACTCCCAATCAGCATTAGCCGTTATTTAACTCTTCTGTAATTATAATTTTTAGATTTTAAGAAATTTAACATAAAACAATCGACAACGTCGCAACGCCAGCTGATACTGAAAACGTACGCATTTTACTATCTTTACTCCTAAATTCAGGCAGCCAACAAAACATTCAGTTCGAATTCGTTCATAAATTGGTTTACGGCGTTGCCAATGTGTTGTGGTTTTTCGAAATGTTTTATGAGGTGATTTCCAGATATTTTAGTGTTTTGTGGTATTATTTTTAGTGATTTTATTCAGAAACAATAAGACAATGGTGCGAACTTGCTTAATTTGCAAAAATAGAGACGATTTAAACCTAGAAGTTTCATTTCGAAGGTGAGTAAGGCTATGTTACATCAGTGCGGTGCCGAAAGGTAAAATAGAGAAAAATCTTTGGAAATATGTATTAGTAAATCACACAGTTTTGGAATGTACCGTTATAAGTAATGAATTACATTAAGTTAGTTTCGTCACGTTTGGTTTTTTTTGAATATTTTGCTCATAATTTTTAATTATTAAAACCAAGTATACAAATACCAAGTATACAAATGCGATTAATTTGTTGAAAAGATATATAAAAAAATTAAAGATGCCACAATTACGAAAAATCTGCATAAGCGAAATACCATATGATCGAGAAAAAAAAACGGCGTCAGCGATGGCTATGAAATGAAGATCGCTGTCATTTTATATGTAAAATTATATGGGGAATGTCATCGATGTTCATTTCTAAGCCAACTGGAGGCCTTTTTTTTCTATCATACTGATTGTTATTAGGATTTTTAGTTGTTAAAGATGATTTTTTAAGTGTAAAATCAAAATAGATTTATATAATGATTGAAAAAAAGTTAAGGGAAGAGTACGTTGGATATTCATACTAAATACCGAATGATCGAAAAAATCGGTATCGAAGACTGCTGGGAATAACAATCGAATATAATTTTGGCGAGGTCTATTTCTAGATGTCATTTATTAAAAATTGACATAAAGCTTGTCAAAAACTAATACTAATTATAGAAAAATTATAAAAGGATAGAACGTTTCCAGAAACACAAACCGATATCCAAAAAAAAATTTCGAATTTATACTACACCATTTAAAAATCAAATACAACCTTAAGGCCTACTACTGCCAGTAAGTGCCATTAAAAAATAAACAAGAGTAGGGGTCATGACATATCACCTCGCCAAAATTATCACTGATTGTCATTTTTTACGCCGTTTCTTTTTTCGATGGTATAATGTTTGTGGTTATAGAGCAATTTATTTTTTGTTTTGTTTATTAATGCTATAAAAAATTATATCGTTTAAAAGATGAATGCATCTTTGTTTGATATGTTTTATAAAGCATTACTTATTTTTTGTTTGGTAATTTCTAATGAAAAGTTAATTATTTATTCAGTACAAGGTCCCGATTATCCGCGAAGAAACTGTTCCAGAAATAAGTAAATATTTTAGAAATTTTCTTTTGTTTAACAAAGATCTTTATTATTGTTGCTATATAGTAATATTTTTATACCTAATATAAAATTGTAATTAGTCACGACAGTTTTAAAATATTCTCATTTTCCACCGTTGCTTCAAGCAAAATAATAACCATTAATTCACATAAATGTTTTATAAAAGTCGTCGTCGGCTCGTATTCATTGAATGCTTGATGGATTATATTACTACTGGAGCAATTTACAGACTTTATACTATGGAAATGTGCATATCATAATATTTCAATTAGTTATTTTCAATTTATTGGAGTACAGAAGTAGTCATTTTCAAAATTTGAAGAGCCATCGAGCACAACAATATATCGTATCCAAAAATCATACCGTATGATCGAATAAAAACGGCGTCAACGATGGCTACGAAATGAAGATCGCTGTCATTTTATATGTAAAATTATATGGGAAATGTCATCGATCGTCATTTCCAAGCCAACTGGACGCCGCTTTTTTTCCCGTATTTACGCGGATATAATATTAAATTATATATTACAATCAAAGTAACTACGCCCATGACACACTTTCTCAAGATCTCTGAACAGCGTTGCCATTCTCACGGGAATCCTTCATGACTGCGATCAGCCCATCTTGTTCCCACTCGCATAGAGCAAGAAACGAATATCTGATTCTGATCTTTTCCTTTTTATGAATGAAATGCCGGGTCTACTTTATTTAGAGGTCATTGATCTCTTCATTTATAGTTATCGGATCGGAAAGAATTCTGATCGCGTCGCGTCCGCTATTCAAACTTAACCTAACTTTGAATTTAAAACTTTGAAATTTTTTTGTTTACTAGGTATTTTAAAACTAAAGGGCTAAAGTGCTTATTTCCAGTGCTTTATTGTTCAACGTCTGCCAGTGGGTTTACAGCAACAAGCAACAAATTCTCTTAGAAGGGCTAAGTCGTGATCTGCTGTAAACATAAGCCTCTTTATAGGTTCTTTAATATTGGAAGAGATGGAATCCATATTTTGGGCCATATTTATTTAATTAAAAATAATCCCAGCTATTTAAATATCAAATTACCTAATAAAACTAAAGTAATAATTCAAAACAATTCAAACATAACCTAAAATAAAAGATCTCGCTTCGCGCCGGGCGGCCCCGGTTGTCAAATACCCGCACATGCCCATTTAAGCAATTTTTAAACGTTATCACACGGGGGTGTCACTTGTATGGGAAAACAGGCAACAGTCAAATTTAAACGTGCCAGGACCAACGACAAAGAAAGCAACATCTGCCAGGCATTGGCTTTCTTTGTCACTCATATTGCTTAAATCATTGTCAACTTGTCAACAAAGAAGCTGGCCGGGCTGTCCTGGCAAGTGATATAAAACAATTTTGCTTTTTTACAATATTAAATTACCATTTGGATGTATTTAATGCGATTATTCAGTTAACTGGTAAGTCAGAAATTACACACAAATACTTTATTCGTAAATACAACTAAGATGTAAACGTATTTTTGTATTTTTAGATTTCAACTTTTGCAAAGACCCGCCGATAGAACTTGCCTGGCAGGGTACCTGTTTAACTAGACGTATTATTTCCTGATAATAATATCAAAACACGTAAGTACCTCTATAATTTATGATGAAAAATGATTTTGATTATGTTTTATATTATTTAAATACTTTCTAACCTCAAATAATAGTAAGATCTTTGTTTATATCGCACAGCCCGTTCAAAACTGTATTGTCTTCAAAAAATGTTTACAAAACAAACAATTATTAAAAAAACAATGTCCTTTTAATCTGATTTATACCTCAGAAGGATGCCAGTAAAATTTTATTAAATCAACATTATATTATTTGGCCGTTAATATGCAAAAAGGAGCATATTGCCTTAACTTAAATTTTTTTTTACTTCTCCTGACAATATTCTCTATATTCTCTATTTTGAGTTAGTAAACTTTTGAACGGGATGTGCGATATATAAAATACATAATATATCCAAGGGTATGATCTGATAAAAGTATTTTTTGATGCATTTTTTGGTTGTTTATGCACGTTGGCTTGGTTTATGTTTTATTCAGCTTATATTTATTTGGTATAACAGTTTTTTTTGCCTTTGGAATGTCATGCATTGAGGCTAGATAGTGTTTCATTAGATCATTAAAGGAATTTAAATTAGCATATATTTTTTGTCATATTAGTGTGTTATCATGATACAGGTAGTTGTATCATAGTGCTTTATGCATGTTATTTACCTATTATATACTTATGTAATGTATTATCAGTAAATAGATGATAACATACTACTAAAATGTCTTTTTTAATAGTATGTTTATCTTTCCAATTCACTAGTTATTTGCAAAATGTATTTTGAACTAATTTAAGTCATTAATTGATCATCTTTCTTTTTCAGGTTCGGGGGATATTCTTTTTCATTGTTAAAAAATATATATATATTTCAATATTATTGTAATATAAATCGCAGCTCTAAAAAATAAATGATATTGTTTACTAATGTGTAATTTATTTACTATGAATTTTCTCTGAAAATAATAAGTCTTTAATAATATCATTGATTTGCTGTGTAAAGTTAATAGACATATTTTTTAATACATTAAATTATATTAAAGTAATAAAAAATATGTTTATTAACTGTAAACAGTAAGTCAGTAATACTTATAAAAATATTTTTTTAAAATTTCCCCTCTTTTAAGCCCCGCCCCTCCAATTCCCCTCAATTTCGCTAGTACTGCCAGGCGACACCAGGTGGCGTCTGTTTCCATTTTTTAACATGAAGTTAGCATTTCTTTAATGTACCTATTCTCTGCGTTATCAGAGGTTATTTAGAAAGAGCGCTTGGTGTAATTGATCCGCAAATTACATCAGGCGGTAACGTTATTAGCGGGTGTTGCGTTAAAAATTGACTCGCGCATATCGTAACCATGATAAGGTACGCGTAAATACTGGATGACGATATTCGGTTTTCCGATATCTCTCTAATAAATGTGCCGGTCAGGCGCTGTGCACAATTTTAGAGGCCATAAGTGGGCGTGCTATGTGCGCAAACTAGTCACCTAATTAGTGCCCGATTCCGAAAATTGGAACAACGAAAAACAATAAAGAAAAAACAAAGATTATAATCTGTATAATCTGTGCTACTATTCTTGATTCCATTCCCTTTACACCAATCTTCCAGTTTTACATAGGCTTGCTCGTACGTTTGTCTTGATTTTTCGGGAAGTAGGGAATCGACAACGTTTTGCGCAATGCCTTCAATATCCGAAGGGACACTTTCAAAATCAGAATCACCCATATTAATATTATTTTTTGCTTTTTGCTAAAACTGAACGTTTAACACAAACTTGAACATCAATAATTGAGTTGTCAAAGTCAAAATGGAAACAATCAACAAGCACGGTTACCACGGCGTCGACTAATATGGGCACCTGATAATTTTGAGTTTCAATTTTTACGAGGATATCTCTGATATTTTAAATTAAATCAAATCTCTTTGGATCGTCCCTCGTGTCGCGTCGTAGATTAAATTTTGAATGATACACGTTCGATACGAACTTTTTAATGAAACTTGTATCATTAATAACTATTTTGATACTGTTTCTAGATGTGGAGCTCCTATAGAAATGAATGGTGAGCATTTTATTGATCTCTATGAAAGACAGTATAAAATGAGGTGTTTGGATATATACGGGGCGAAGCCAGAACAAGATGCCTTCATGCTAGTCGGAGTACTAATAGGTCTATACATCCACTTCCTAATTGGGTATAATATTTTATTAATCTCATGTTGCTATTTGTGTTTTAGGTGTACTGATAGCTTTACCAGCAATACTGTTCATCATTTTCGCGTACCAGAGGAGATGGTTTGGTCTATTTAACATGTGCGATAATTCTCCAGCTGCGTATACTAGAAGATTCTACAGTTCAACACCCAGAGATGAGGATTTCTAAGCAATATTCAGTGTCTAAAAGTCATATTTCAGCTGCTAGAGAAAACCAGATGATTTATAAAATAATTTAAATAAAAATAATATCACTTTAAAGCTACATTCACGCGGCAGTCACGTTTAAATAAATATATACATATACATTAATGTTCCTCCTCTAGATTATAGTTTTTTTATATTTTCTAGATTTAAAAAACTGATAGTTATTTCAATGGCAATAGATTCTGAGCTTGTCCTATTATAGTACTTAATGATATATTCTCTGATGAAATATTATCATAACATATTGTGACATGATAGTCCAGTCTCTTAAAGTACTTTATTTATGCTTAAAATAGAGACAATCTAAAGGTGCCATTACACGACGCGTGGAGCGCCGCGCCTCGACGGTCGGCGCCGATTTTCGGGCCACGGCACAGTACTTCGAACATATGGCTCTAGAGGACAAAAATGCAAAACTTCTCTTTTATTGTAGGCAATTTATTCAAACTAGGTTTATTTGACACAAATGATGAGTACTCTCATTGTACTAAATGATGATGTTCTTAGTCCCACGTTTATGAAAAAAAAATCTTATAAATAATAAAAATGTGGGATCTGTTTTTCATCTAAGGAAATAATAATTTATAGTATGAAAACGGTGTAAGTATTAAATAAATCCCTGTGATAAAAAAGAATTGGAATAACATTAGAACATGATTCCTACAATATAAGCCAATATAAGATAAAAATGTTTTTCTTTAATGAAAAAGAAACATTAATGCTATATTTAATTAAAAAAAAAACTTAAGATACTATAAATTTACTTTAAGACAACAAAATGCATAGATCGTAACTACTCTGATTCAGAAGAATCACTGCTGACAGAATCTTCCAAATTTATAGTATCCAAATCACAGGTAGATGAAATATCCTCACATATAAGATATTTCTGTACATCATTTTCTAATATGTTACTTTTTCGCCTTGTTACTGTTCTTTTTGTTGGTATGAGGGGTTCGGATGTTAATAGTTACCTCTTTAATAGACCATATCAATATATTATTTTTTCGTTTTCTTGGGTATGAGGTTTTATAATAAATTGAAAGATGGAAACTTTTTTATGCGACGTTTCGCTCCAACATAGTGGGCTTTTTCAGGCACAAGTGGTCTCATTTGACTGGAAGGTTCATCAATATCTAATAAAGAACACATTTTTTGAAATACAAATAATTTTGAGTTCTTGTCCTTATGATCAAGCCAAGTATTAACCAGATCGGCATTGTTTATCAATTTTACTCTATCTGAAGTATTATAAAATAAAGTTCGTCGCAAGCAGACGCAGGTGAACTATACAAAAATTATACGTGTATGAATATGACAACAAAAATATTCAATAAATACGATATGTTTTGATATGTTTTTTTTTAAATGCTTTTTTGAAGTTTGAAAACGTAAAATTTTTATACCCATTTAAGAATCATCTTAAAAAATAAATAAAAACTAAACAATCACGAACTTGTTTAGAAATAAATTTAAAGTACATACCTTGTTTAACAATATACATACTGGCTTTCAATTAAGTACTTACTAACTCGTTTACGTTTAACTCCATATACAGAACTACTATGAATGTTATTCTTTTCATTGATATAAGATAATGATCGCAAAATTTATTTTTAGTGAAAATATTTGCTAACAAAAAAACGCTGTTTGTGAAAAATAATATACAGGATGATATTCAGATATTAGTAAATTCTAACTTTTTTTTTCGATTTTTGTCCATGGGACGAAGCACTGTGCACGGGCCTGGTATATGAGCAGTTACACGGAGTGTGGAATCCCGCGCCAGGACGCGCCAGTACGCGCCTGAACCGTGAACTGCCGCTCCACACGCCATGTGAATGGGTCGGCGCGGGGATCGTCGGGCGGCGTGTCGTTCCCGTCGACTGGTGGTAAACTACACACTCCAAAGCAAACGCGCCACGAAAAATTTTCGCCAGTAATTTTTTGAATTTAGTTAAATTTAATTGTTGCATAATTTATTTAAATATTTCCATTTAATGCGAAAATGCATAATTTGATATTCGCTTAAAGAAATCTATAAATATCATATTAATTAGGTGGAAAAATTACTGAAAATACAGGGTATACCCTGCCACATATGGGCTATACTCTACCATGTTATTGTTTAAAATAATTATTATTATTTATTCTAAATGTAATATAAAGTATAAGGAACACTAGATAAATTTTGCTGAGGTGACTTATGTATGCATGAGTAATAATTACTGTATTTTTAATAATGTTTATTGCATTTATACTTCTAAAGATGCGGTTTTCACATCACTATGCTATTTTTTATGAAACCAAAGATGCTACAAGAGTTGTCCTAGTCTTTTTAGTTCCTAAAATACAGGGCGAATTTTAAAATACTGCATTTTTCGATCCCATCGTATATTGGTTAACTTATCGAAAAGGTGAAAACCAAAAAATATAAAACTCAACGAGACTAGTTAAGTTTTTATATAGAATCCAGTGACGTTAACTAGTTTCGCTTGTAACTCTCATTTTCGAAATCTGACTTCTATTTGTAAATGACACCCAGTCTATTATTTTTTTTTATTTTATTTGCCTTGTTATGGGCTTTCTGAAAATACGATATACTCATTTAAAAAATCGTTATTTAACTTTTGAACATAAATAAACCTTGTTTAAAAAGTATTATTATCTTATTTAATTTAATTTAACCAGGTGATTTTGCTTTCCACTCTGTTATCTTAATAAACTGCACTGAAAATAAAGTTGAGGAATAAATTATTGGATTGTATTAATTTAAACCCAATTTAAACCGATAATCTATGTTAAAAAGTTATATAATGCATTTTTTGTATCTGCCTGCCGGTCGGTCGTCCCATCGGCGCACAGTGCGGTGGATGATAAGTCTAGCGGGACAAAACCGTTTTGTTTGTAAAAATAAGCCAAAAATGTGTACTGATAAGAATAAATAGTGTTCATTCCAACTGATATAAAAATGCATGAATTATTTTTTGGTCGTATACATTTTTATCAACCAAATTTGATCGTTTTCTGCTCAGCCAGGTAGAGGTCATACGAAAACAAAATATTTACAAGTGCATACATTCTATTCCAAAACCAAATTATGTTGGAGAATGCCAAAGGTATGTAAAAAGGCGTTTTAAATCCAACATCATCTCTTGACCGTTTTGTGGGACATCGTAATGCAATTTTTAGATCCCAACTCTCTTATAGTAACCAAGAAAAGAAAGGTGTTAAGACCCTTCTACGATCATTTTCTCTTGTTTTTTTTTTAGAGTTCAAGCTTAACAGGTAGACGCCCAAAAGTTTTATTTCAATAAAGTCTCATTAAAGGATTAATTGAAGAGCACTGAAAAGAAGAATTAGGTTTTGCAACTACTATGAGCTTTAGGACTAGTGGGAGTAGGTATGCTGCTGTAATCGTTGAAACCTTAACTGAAACTCCATCGAAAGACACTGAGTTTAAAAAATCGATAAATGACACCAATAGTCAGTTCGGCAATTTTTCTCAAGACAAAAACATCCAAATGATGTTCTAGTTAAATAAGGCATGACTATATGCAAAAGCCTTTTTTAATTTCTCATAATTTCCAATAAAAACTAAATGATTATTACCAAACCTAATATCATAATTTTATTTAATTAGAAATAGTTTACAGTACGGTTTTTGTGTGTCACGTACGAATAATACAATAGTTTTATTATCTTGTATTTATTTATTTATTAATAAATTAAGTTGTTAATAAATAAATAAATTTAACCCACATGGGTACTATACATAATATATTAAACCATTTGCTACGTTCTTAGATTTTAAGTTCCAAACATCGCTCCTGAGGTTTTCTCCCGCTAGAATTACCATTCGGCCGCACTGTGCGGCCCGTCTTGGCGCGTCTTGGCTAAGGTCTTGGCGCGGCGCTCCACGCGCCTGGAGCGTGGATCGGCGCTCCACACGCCGTGTAATGGCACCTTAAAAATGATTTTCTTGGATAATATTTTAAACCAAATTAATATTAGTTTATTTTTATTTTTGATTTAAATGATAAAAAAAGCATAATACATAAAAATATTGATAAATCGTGAACAATATTCGAAAGAATTATAACTTTTGGCTTGATTTAGTTATATACTTGCAAGTATTTATTATAAAATCAACAAATAAGGTTTTATATAGTTTTATTAGATTTTAGAAATTACTACAATATGTTTATATAAAAATGTAGGTTTTTCCAAGACTTCTAGTTTAAAAATGTTTTTTTAAGTCTGTAATATAGGTACCTATATTTATTATTAAATTTGTTGCATGGCTTTGTAAAATATACCATAAGAAGTACGACAAAAATATTATTAAGAAAAAAAAATAATTTTATTAATATACTTTTGATGTCCTGTTTTATTATAAACAAATTTTTTTAATTACTTTTTTTTCATTATTAATGACAAAATTGTAAAAATTTTAGTGTTTTATCCTTGACTGACTCGTTAGTCAAGTGCTAATAGAATTAGTTGATTGTAAGATATCAAATTTATTTTATTCTAGTCTTATAAATAATTATATTGTAATTATAAAGAATTGAGAAAATAATATTTGTTAATTTTAAAAAATAATTTAATGTTTTAATGACCGATTTTTGATTATGGTTAAAACTTTGCCTATATCTAGTATCGTTTTCCTTAGACCAAAATAACGTATACTTTCTGATTCTATACCTTTTAATTAGCAAATAACAGTATATTTATCAAAATCGGTGACATGACCAAAATCGATAAATTTCGTGAGTATGGAAAAAAACCGAAAAATTCAACATTTTTGACTGTTTTCAAGGCTCTTAGAAAAATAGTAAACACAGTCCTAAAATTATGGAAATTTCAGCGTTTATAGGAAATTTTATGTAGATTTAGATTCTATAATGATTTAATAGTTTAAGTGTTTCGGTTTTGTAAGAAATTGGATTTTTCGAACCAATGTTTTAGAACCTTTCTCCATGGTAGATAAAATGTTACCTACATGTGAAAAATGCGTGTGTTAAAGTGGATGTGTTAAAATGTGAAAACATGTATGGAATAAGTCGAAAAATTGAATATTTTTGACTACAAGTTTTCAAGGCTCTTAGAAAAATAGTAAACATTGTCGTAAAATTATGAATATACAGGGTGAGTCTTAAATAAATGCAAATATTTTCAGGGCTGGTATCTCGATAAAAGAAACATATTTTCTCTTTTAGTTGTCGATTTTCGAACGAAATCAGTACATGTATATTATTTCGTATATTTTTCATTTTATTCATTTTATGGAAAGCACTGTTCATTAAAATGTTGTATCATATGTTATAGGGCTTGTTTCTCTCTACAGTTTCCTGTCTCACAATGTACCGTTTGTGTCCGGGAAGGGTTCATAGTTTCATAGTTGTCGATTTTCGAAAGAAATCAGTACATGTATATTATTTCGTATATTTTTCATTTTATTGATTTTATGTAAAGCACTGTTCATTAAAATGTTGTATCCTATGTTATAGGGCTTGTTTCTCTCTACAGTTTCCTGTCTCACAATGTACCGTTTGTGTCCGGGAAGGGTTCATAGTTTCATAGTTGTCGATTTTCGAAAGAAATCAGTACATGTATATTATTTCGTATATTTTTCATTTTATTGATTTTATGTAAAGCACTGTTCATTAAAATGTTGTATCCTATGTTATAGGGCTTGTTTCTCTCTACAATTTCCTGTCTCACAATGTATTACCAGTTCCTTTGTAATTTTAGTTTATTCGCACTTTTGTTGTGGGTTTGAACAATTTTTCGGAACATTCAGTAACTATAATCTGTCACAATAGAATTTCTCTCATATTTTGGATGGACAGTCTTTAAAAATTAACATTTTAAACTGTGTTTGGACTCTTAAGAATACTCTGAAACCTGATCGAGACGAGGGAAATGAAATAAAGCTGAAAAGCTGAAAATCTGGAAAAAACGATATGCTCAGGAAGAAGGATAGCGAGTCTGGGTAATGCGCAGCGTATCGGAGGAAAATTGAACGTTATTGGAAAAATTACGGACAGAATAGCGTTCGTTACAAGCAATTTGCGGCCTGCATCCAAGGGAATGGAAAATATTGGAAAGACGAACGGGAAAATTTAGAACAGAATTTGATTCATTCAGGGTATTAAATCCAGTAGAATTTTCTCTATACGAGGGTTGCTTTTCATATTATGCATATAGAGGTAAAAAAAGAGCAGATAACTTTTTAACACAATTGTTTTTTGGTACGTTTATATAATTTTTATTTGGAATTCGGGCCTTTGAAATGACCAATGATGCCTCAATTTCAAACTATGGGACATGTCGATCTTCTTGGATCAGCTTACCAAAGAATAATTCTTTTAGCTTACGTATACAGGCTTATTCACCACATACGACAGTATTGTAGCTAAACGATTACATTTTTACAAATTGTAAGTTTTGGGTTCGTTGAAGGATTATTAGAGCTATTATTTTAAAAGTCCCAAATAAGTAAAAAATATTATAATTTTATTTTTTTAAATGGAACACCCTGTATATTATTCTATTTTTAAATTCTACGATTGAAATAAAGGTAAATTTGATTAAGGTTTATCACACTTAAACCTTACCGTTTTTGAAATATTTTCAATTTTATGAAATTGCAGTAAGAATTTTAAGGCTTCATTTCTGCAAGGGTATCAAAGTTTTTAATACTAAATATTTACTGAAGTTTATTTATTGATCAGATATTGCGTTGCAATAATAAACAAAATATTACCTTATACAGAGTGTCTAAAAATTATATTAAATAATTACTAGCTTTAAACGGCAATAACTTGTATAATTTAAATGGTACACCCTGTATATTTTACGAGAATCAGATGCACAACTTAATTGTCTATCAAATTGTATTATACCATTTTTTACCTATCTCTTCAAGTTTTCGTAGAAAATGGATTTCCTTATAATTTAAACCTCATTTATCACTATACCCATGGAATATTGACATTTTAGATTATTTTTGAAAGATGTAACAAATTTTCAAAGTGTTCAGATACTAATATTGTCGATATAATTTGCTTATTTCATTAAAAAATATTAAAAAAACTGTTTAAATATTTTTTGTTAAAGGGGACCAATTAATATGATCCCAGTAATCAAACTACATTAATTGACTGTTTTCGGTTTACGTTGATTAATAATAATTGCTCCAAATACCAAAAAACTGAATTTTGTATGTGCATTAGACAGTGTGGTAAAAAGTAACACATCTTATAAATTTTATTTCATTTTCATAACTTATTATTATATCGATTTCTTAGTGAAACCCACATTTATCTAGAATAATTTATTAATTAAAACAATTAAGTATGCAGTTAATTATGTTGTGGGCGGAAAATGCGAAAATAATGGTTGTATATTCAATTGGTATACTCTTTTATAAAGATTTAAATAGTTTTCTTTTTGTAAATAAATGGGCTTTAAATAAATGGGCGAAAAAAATTCAAAATGTCAATATTCCATGGGTATAGTGATGAATGAGGTCTAAATTATAAGAAAATGCATTTTCTTTGAAAACTTGATGAGATAGGTAAAAAATGGTATAATACAATTTGATAGACAATTAAATTGTGCATCTGATTCTCATAAAATATACAGGGTGTTCTATTTAAATTATACAAATTATTGCCGTTTAAACCTAGTAATTATTTAATATACATTTTTGGACGCTTGGTATATGGTACTATAATTTTTATTATTGCAACACAATATCTGATCAATTAATAATCTTCAGTAAATATTTAGTAATAAAAAGTTTGATACCCTTGGAGAATTTTTTTTCTGCCATTTTACAAAATTGAAAATATTTCTAAAACGGTAAGGTTTAAGTGTGATAAACCTTAATCAAATTTACCTTTATTTCAATCGTAGAATCTAAAAATATAATAATATACAGGCTGTTCCATTTAGAAAAATAAAACTATAATATTTTTTACTTATTTGGGACACTCTGTGTATTGTAAAAATATTTTTAAATTGTAGCTCTAATAGTCCTTCAACGAGCCCAAAACTTACAATTTGTAAAAATCTAATCGTTTAGCTACAATACCACAAATCTGTGACAATACTCCGTGTCGTACTCCGTGTGGTGAACAACCCTGTAGAAACTAACTCGACAAGGCATTCTTGCTGAGACATTTGTACGATTTTTTTAATAGAACGGTCATTAATACATAAAGAATAGACATGTTTTTTAATTAATTATATTTTTAAAACATAGAGAAGAAGAATTTTACGCGTATTAACTAGATCTACGCAAAAAAATAAATACCACACTCCAATTAATTTATATATTCTCGTTAAATTATGAGAAAATAAGAAATATAGAACGCCATTGATATTTGATATTGACTATTTTTCAAGGAAAATGAAAGGTATGTTTGCTTTTAAATCGGTTTATTAATAATTGACCAGTATTTATCAATACTCTGTACATTGTGAGTGGTATTTTGTTGCTGCTGGAAAGAACAATAGTCACGTAAGTTGGTACATTTTTCTTCTTTTATATTTTGAATTTTCTCGAGCTGGAGTACATTTTTTTGGCGAATATTAAGTTGACTGAGCTTGCCTTAAAAAGTTTCTAGAAATATAGAATATCTATACCGGGTGCGTCTCAAAAGTGACCCTTATGACTTTTTTATTAAAAAAAAAGTTATAAAGATGACCACTTTTGAGACGTTATAAAATTGTAAAGCTAGTTTTATTTCTACGAAAAATATATAAAATTGGTTGAATTATTTTTCTAACAGAAGGAGATATACAGGGTGATCCGAACTGTAAAATCAGAACTCTGAAATCAAGATTAAAACGGTTAAATTCAGATAAAGGAACATACGAGTATTACATGTTAGAGGTCCTGTAGAATTGCGCATCTGGTACCTTATAGAACTTTAGACATATAAAATAAGAAAGATAGGTTTTCATTTGAAAAATATGCATAGTCATTCATAATACAGTTAATGATTCTTAATTACAATGAAATAGAATACATTAAAGTATAGTTTATTGCGTATTAAAATAAAAAAAAGATTTGCACTAATATCAATTTCATTATGGTTAAGCAACATTTTTATTTTTTTGCATTTATTATATCGTTTCAGACTGCACCTGTTTAAGATGGTACTATCTCTAGACCGCTGGATTGGAAAAGTGGCAGTTGTTACTGGTGCTAGTGCCGGTATAGGTGCCGAAATTCTAAAAAAATTGGCAGAGAGTGGTATTATTGTAAGTCAAACTCTATACAGAGTGCAACTAGTAACTTTATAACTTATTTGAATATCATTATTTGTTCGAGACATTTAAACATAGGTTAAAGAAATATTTGCCTTAAGGAAAAACTGGAGGTGTGTAGCTACCTTTAGAGGACACATATTTCAAAAATGTGAAACTCTCGGAAATGGCTAGGACAACAGTCTAATCTCACGTGAATCTTTCAAGTGATCTAAAAAATGATCTACTAAAATTAATAGGGAACATCCATTCTAATTCAGTCAGAGTGACTGTGGATACTATTAAATCCATCTGATTTTCAGTAAAATCCTTCATCTTCGCTCTGATTTAGCCACTCTAATCGTTGTTACTTTCTCACATTTTTTACACTATATTTTGGGCCCAAAAAACACATGTAACATTTGTCGTGAATGCCCCTTTATTATTTTTTTTTGTATAGGCGGTTGGGTTGGCTAGAAGAGCTGAAAAAATTCAGGAATTTTCGAAAAAATGCTCAAACTTGAAAGGAAAAATCCACGCCATACGGTGCGACGTAACCAATGAGACAGATGTTAAAAAAGCATTTGAAGAAATTAAAAAAATAGGCGCTGTTCACATACTGATCAACAATGCCGGAACAATGGGAAAAACAAACCTTTATGACGGACAATGTGAAGAGTGGAGAAGGATTCTAGGTAAAGAATATATTATATTTTCTTTATTATTGCTAATTATTTGTCTACAGGGTGTTGGCTCAAATAAAAAAAATATTTTTTTAGAAACCAACGTAATGGGACCATGCATTGTCGCCAAAGAAGCTATCAGGGTTATGTCCGAACAGAAAATAGCTGGTCAGATTATTAACATAAACAGTATTTTGGGCCACCATGTATACAATATTCCAAAAGCGAATATTTATCCGGCATCGAAGCATGCCCTGACCGCTTTGACGGAAACTTTGAGACTGGAATTAATTGGCATTGATTCGGATATCAAAGTGACAGTAAGTATACCGGGTGGTACATTAAATACATGTGGCAAATTTGAACAGTTTTGGACAAGCCGATTTTAAGCAATTTAAGAAAAACTGCCTCAATTTTTAAATTAATACTGTTAAAATTGTTACCTCAATGCAAAACCATGAAAATGTCGATACACCTTAAGTTGTTAACCTATGATTTTATCATTGTTAAATGTTATTTCTTGTGCTGATGTCTACACTACTAGGTTATAGTACCTACTGTTAGTGTCTCCGAAATGCATTTTATAATCAAAAACTTGTTCGAATTAGGCAAAAGCCCTACTGTATAGAAAATACAATTTGACATTTACAGAATCAAAGTTTCACAATTTATGTATGTTAGCATTTGCCTGATTTTGCACTGTTAACTGTTCAGTTTCAATTTGAAAATAAATGCAGTTTTTCTCAATTAGTTAAAATTGCCTTGTTGAAAATTGTTTGAATTTGGCACGTGTATAAGTCTGTCCAACGAGAAGATCCTTGACAGTGATATATGTGTCTGTCATTTTAATTTCAAAGTAGTTTATTTTATTTTACAAAGAAATAAGTTGGTACAACTGGAACGCATAGCAGGATATTTTTAAAATTTGATTGACAAGATGACAAGTGATTACTTCAAAATATTGTGAAAAAAACTGTATAAAACTGAAAAAATGTAATCGAGTTATTTTATTTAATAAAAACGGTATGTGTTAATACAAAACAAACAGGAACAAGACCACTACATACCAAAAAATATAAAAAGGAACTATTATTTACTTTCAAGCTTTATGAAACTACCCGCATTTATGATTATATTTATCAATATAACTTATGTAAAATACAAATTTGTAATATTCCACAGGAATAAATAAAACAACATAGGTAAATAAAAGAAACTATTTTATTAATAATAACACCTACCAAATTTAATTTTTTTAAACCAGTACCTTTTGACATTATTTCTCTGTAGTACTAAAATCCATTATTTACCTATCGTGTGATGTCGATATTTTACAGCTACTCCAGTTTTTAGTATGTGTTTAGTTTGATCCTTCTACCATATACGAAATGCACTTATCTACGACGAAATGGTATACAAACTTTATCGATGGCAACTTTATTGGTGTATAAGACTTTCTGCCTGGGCAGCGAGTAACCATAACTGTGCTCTGGGTCTACAGTTAATTTTCACTCGATTTTTCCTCCACTTGACTTCAAAAGACACAAAACACACGTAATAATACGAATCAAAATGTTCCAAAACGCAGGGTATTTAACAAAAGTTGACACAAAATTATAACCTATAATTTGGCAAGACTTTGACAAGCGTCAAAAATAACAAAAATCTAAAGGCGAGTTCATACGCATCGGCGTCCGTTTGTCGTTCATCGTTCCGTCAAACCAATAAAATTGAAATACGATCTGTCATTTTTTAAATAAACCAATAAAACTGGTTAAAAAAACAAGACACGACGCATGACGGATTTATATTTAAACCCATCCATAGATAACTTAAAAATTATTAGAAACTTTTTGTAGTAAAATAAATAGATTGGTATGGGACGTCATCTGCTTTTCTTCTGTCATCGTCTGTCGAAATCTTACCTGAGAAAAAAAAACAGAGTATATTCAGTATACATATACGGTTAAAAAATGTGCTTTTAGTTTCGAGGTTTTTCAAAAAACGCGAGAAAAAATCGAAATCTCCAATTTTTGTTTTTTCTCGAATATGTTTCTAAACGGCATATTATTAGGCATTAAATTGAATTACCCTGTATAACAGTGTGTATATTTTGCAGAGTTTAAGTCCAGGCCCTGTCGATGATACAGAATTCTTCGTCCGAAGCAATATTGGCAAAGATGGCGACGGTCCAATAAAACATTTTTTAAAACCAGAGGACATCGTCGATAGTGTTATGTATGTTTTATCTACGCCACCGCATTTGCATGTGAGTTATGTAGATTTATTTATTTTTGCAAATAAATTAAAAGATAAAAATATTTAGAGAATTTTGACCCACTGTTTCGGATAAATTTCTAAACTGTGGGCCAAACCCTCTTGAATAACAGTCAAAAACTATCTTAAGAATTCTCTTATAAAAGTATTTGTTTTTAGGTAGCTGAATTAATGCTAAGACCACTAAAAGAACCTCTGTAATAAAGTACTACCTACCTGTATTAATTATTACATTGTTATAATATAATTTATCAATATGTTATTACACAAATCTAATAAATGTTTTAACCTTCTGGACAATAATATTATTTATTTACGATTACTATGCAATATACAGGGTAAGTTTCTACGAGTCTCTCTATGGGTATCTCGGAAACTACCGGAGATAGAGAGTCGATTAAATGCGGAAAGAATTGGAGTTTTGTGAGGTCATAAATATGCGCCTTTCAGATTTTTGAAAAAGCTTATGGCTTTCTAGATATTTAAAAAAAACATATTTTGGCAATTTTAAAAATTGTCCCTAATTCAATTATAATCTATTTTAGACACACAAAAAGTTTTCAAATAAAAGTTGTAGATAATCATATCCTTAATGAGATTGTGTTCTACTTTTTTTATAGCCTGTCATTTTTGACATATGACACAAGCTTATGTTTTTTTTTAAATGGAAACCATAGTTGGCCATGACTTCATAAAAAGCGCCATTTTTTAAGATTTTCAGTGATATTAATTATAATATGTTTTTTTTTCGAAAAAATACTGAGTTATAGCCAATTCTTATAATTTTTAAACAATTTCACTTAGTTAGCCATGGAAACAAGTTTAATCGTCGTTGCTCTCAGAAATGTCAACTGTCACATCCAAACTTTGTAAATTAAAATAGCCAAAAATTGTAAATATGAATTTTTCAAATGAAGAAAAGCGTGTAGGATTATTAGTTCAACTTTTCTTGGCCATACATTTTCGAGGATACGTTACATACGCTTTTTAGAGAACGGGTTTCAAGACATGTTAGAAAAGTTAAATTTAGAGACTCACGCATCAATAGAGTGATTCCAACATGACTCTCATTATGACACTCTCTCCACAATGAAAAAAAAATTTAAAAATTATTTACATCATAATTATTTCAACTCAAGGATAGGAAGAGGTAGACCAATTGCATGGGCCTCCTCGATCACCTGACCTATCTATTTTATATTTTTTTATGCGGTATATTTTTTGAATATTTTCTAAAATAACTTAAACTGTATGTAGTTTTATTATTGTTTAAGTTTAAGTTTGTGTAATGTAAATTGTAAAAAAACTGTTTAATAAAATATTCTGTCTTTTTATAAGTCATAAATTTATAATAATTAAATAAATAACATAATAAGAATACCATACCAACTAAGTGAAATTAGTCAAGAAAGATAAGAATTGGCTATACTCAGTAATTTTTCCAAAAAAAAAACATATTATAGCTTAAAAACTGTCTATACCTATGTGGTGGATTCATCTATCCAAAAAAATCCTTATGGGTTTTTCGCCACTGCACTGCAAGAAAAATCTACAAAATAAAATAGTTATTTTTTGTAAACACTTCTGGCGTTAAACCTAAACGGAGGCTGCTTGTCAGAAGTTGTGTTTACAGTAATAAAAATTTGCCTAACAAAGAAAAAAATGCTTAACGTTTCGGAAAGTTTTCTCTTTCCGTCGTCGGAAGCAAAAAAATATATAAAGAAACAAGAAAAAAACTATTTAAAATATTTAAATTGAACTATTCGAGAACACTTTACTTTTTAAAACAGATACGTCTACAAGAAATCGTTGACGTTCTGTTAAAATGACATTATATTAAGTTAAACTTCAAAATTAACAATTACTACCTGATAATTACTTAATAAGGTAAAACTAAAAAGCCCAAACTTTCTGTATGATTATTTTTAAATTTCACGTATGTTATGTTTATTTATGTAATGTTCTTTAAAATCAAAGAAGCGATTGCCATACATTACTAACATCTACAAGATGCAATACATTTATTTTTATTAGATTGAATTAAAAAAGCCTCTTTTATTTTTCTTTTAGATGCTATCGCTTCTTTCATTATAATTTTGGCGTTATTAAAATTTATTCTGTGCCCTGTGTTCCATGAATGCCGACAAATCTTAGATTTGTGAAAATCTCCCTTTCTTAAATAATCTTTATGTTCTTTAATTCTAACATTTAAGGGTCTAGATGTTTCACCAATGTAAAATTTATCGCATTCGCAGGGTATTTGGTATATTACATTTTAAAATTGGTATATTACATTTATAAAATTTGTAATCAGTCAAAGTCGCAGTTTTCGAGATATTAACATATTTTAGTATGGGCGGTTATACGTGCCCCCCGGCGTCAATTTTTTATTCTCAGAAAGAAGGATAACGTATTCTAAATACCTGTTTTCTCAAAAATTTTATTTTAAATGTTTTATAAATTCTCATTTTCTCTAGAATAATAAGAAAAACTTAGGAATAAAATTTAACGTGGTCCAAAAATAAATTATCAAGCATTTTATATCACTATCAGTATACCACATGTTTCATTATGCACTGTATACATTGAAAGATAATAACAGAGAAGAATCAAAAGCACCGGCATATAAAAGAAATTGTTTTATATGCCGTGTCGAAAGAGTGTGGGATAAAAATCTCGTCGTAAAAGCCGGCGAATATGTTGCCACTAAAGGTCAACAAAGAGCCTCGGAAGCGGCGGTCTTTTATTAGGCGTCACACGCCACCCTCTTCAAATATCTTAACCCCCTCGTTGCGAGCCTATTCATCTGGTTTTCACTACAAAGTAGCGCGGATTAATAAAGTTAAATACCACGCCTCCCCACTGTAAGTGCACGGAATCCCTCCTTAATCAAAACAAATCTAATAAAACGACCATAATAAGGAGATAGGTGGGTAAGAGATGATTCAGTTATATACTCGAACGTGGGTACGTGAGCCAGGGGTGGAAAGACTCAACAGAGCAAATGTCAGACAAAAGGAACAGACTATAATGTATGATTAACACAAAATCAGAAAAAGATCTGAACAAGAAACGACAATATTTTTTTGTTTAAGAGATATTCAGTTTTATTGCCTTTGGACTACACGTATGGTCGTTATCATCATCATCATTTTTAGCATATTCAACCAGGCACAATAGGTCCCCACGCATTTAACACTTTTTTGGGATTTTTTTGCAAGATTATCTTAAACTGAATATTTCTAAGCATAAAAATTGTTGGATGAATGTGTTTTATCTTTAAAAAGCGGCAAAAAACGTATTTTAGGTACAGGCGACGGACAGTAAATATGTTAAATTTTCTACACGGATTCAGTAAAAACATCACATATTAGTACTTTATTACCTTATATAGACGTGGAATGATCTAATTTAAGCACAAAAATGTAACGAATCTTCTTTGTAAGCATAAAAATTAAGAAAATATATTTATTTACATCAGCTCAAGCTAGCAATTTTATGACTTTTTCGATTGACAGTTAATCGATCATCGGTATGTCATCTATGGCCTTCGCATAGAATTTGCGACGTTGTCAATAAAATTACTTTATATGATTTTCTTCTGAAATAAAGTTGTTGTGGAGGGACTTAAAACGGTAAGTTATCACTTTAGTGCAACAAAAATTGAACTGTCTAGTAGCTTATTCGTTAGTGTGGATTATTTTAAAGCAATTTCTGAAATAAAATTTGCGGATTTTTCAGGTTCTACGAAAATATAAGTTTTTTTAATATATACTGTTTTTCGACGCGTAATCAATGAAGTTTTGTCATTAGGCTCAATTAGGTTAGCCTGGTTATTTGGAAGGTGGTAATGCATTGGTTAGCCTGGTTATTTGGAGGGTGTTAATGCAATGGTTAGCCTGGTTATTTGGAGGGTGGTAATGCATTGGTTAGCCTGGTTATTTGGAGGGTGTTAATGCATTGGTTAGCCTGGTTATTTGGGGGTGTTAATGCATTGGTTAGCCTGGTTATTTGGAGGGTGGTAATGCATTGGTTAGCATGGTTATTTGGAGGGTGTTAATGCATTGGTTAGCCTGGTTATTTGGGGGTGTTAATGCATTGGTTAGGTTAGGTTAGATAGGCTGGTTATTTGGAGGGTGGTAATGCATTGGTTAGCCTGATTATTTGGAGGGTGTTAATGCATTGGTTAGCCTGGTGATTTGGAGGGTGTTAATGCATGGTTAGCCTGGTTATTTGGGGGTGTTAATGCATTGGTTAGGTTAGGTTAGGTTAGATATTCTGGTTATTTGGAGGGTGGTAATGCATTGGTTAGTCTGGTTATTTGGAGGGTGTTAATGCATTGGTTAGCCTGGTTATTTGGGGGTGTTAATGCATTGGTTAGGTTAGGTTGGTGGGGAGTGTTTGGAAGTACGCAGATCACATCCATTTCGGAATCTTACTGAACAAATCCGGGAAAAATATATTTTTAAACAATTGTGCTAAATACTGTGTAATGATTTTATTGTCAATTTATTTTTATAGTGTTTTTGTTTTGCCTCGTTTATTATATTTTTAATTTTTCGTGTTCTTAAAGTGCGTACTAAATGTAAAAAAAACGAATATAAAGTAGAACGTTTTCGTCGATTTTACACAGGGTGAGTATGGCAACACTGTGCATAACCTTGTATTTTACTGTCTTTATGAAGGTTATAATAGGGAGTTTTCGCATTGAAATGTAGTGAAAATTTGGAATTTTCAATTATTTTTTTTCGTAGAAAAAGTGGTTCATCCAACAATTTTTTTCTTTTAAACCATTCCATTAACTATGGGATCCACATTAAAAATTAAAAAAACCACGATTTCGTGGGGACCTGTTCTGCACAAGACCCTTCAACCATTTCCAATTACGGTGTAGCCTTCCTCACATTCTCTCTTTGTAGTTGGGTCCATTGTTGTCTATTGTTGGCTATGCGGGCCCAAGTTATCACTGCTAATTTCCTAATATCATGGTCCTGTCTCAGGTTCGGTCTTCTTGGTCTCTTAATTCCTCGTGGGTACCACGCTGTCATTTTTGTGATTCATCTGTTGTTCATTTGATTCTGTGGATGACATCTATTATAGTCTATAAAATGAATAACTTTGAATTTTGACCGTTATTTTTTACCAACATGGCAAATATAAAATCCCTCTGTCAAAAAAGTTACTGATATTCTTTAAATTGAATGCTTAAACAAATCAGATAGGTAACTCTTTTTACTTTCGTGAAATAGAAAAGGAAAATAATAAAACAAGTGACAGTCAAGTTTTCTTCTTG